ATCGTTCTGAAGCCTTAATCATATGTAAGACTGGATTTTATTCCAGACTGAAGCTCCGACCCACTTCCATGCTCTATACATTTGTCTAAACAAGACCACTGTTTTAGAGTCTAAACTGTAATGATAGTGAATAATACTGGATGGTTCATTTTATACCGGTTGCGCTCCCTCTGTGTCATCAGAGGAACCTTGACTTCCCTCAGGTTATGTGGGAGATACACAGCTCTCACAGAAAAATGACGGATCCCTGAGGTGTTAATTGAAGGCACTCACCTGGAGAGAGGTACGAGCTCACAGTGAGGACTCGCACAGTCAGCATAAACAGCTCAGCCACACCACCTTGTGTTCAGACTCGTTCATGGTCGTCCGGTATCTGATCAGATTCAGTGCACGGAGGGGCTGGAACTCAGCGTGATGCCACCACTTCACAGTCGGTCTCTGAGAGTCTACAGTCACACAACCTGGTAAACAGACGTTAGATTTTAAATATGTTAGAGTCCCTCGATCAGGACGTGAAGCAGTTTGTTGAGGATCTGTAGGCGAGCCTTCCTGCAGTTCCTCTACAAGCTGGGATCAGTCTCCTACATACCTGTCTGCAGACGTGTTTGTACTTCTTTGGTCCTGTTACTCCAGGACTGGTATGACATCATTGTCAGCATGTAGGCCAGGAGTCAGTGACTGGAACACAGACAGTTCGTATCCATATTTATTTTTATTTTCTACTTTTTTTCTGCTGAGTCCCTTCCAGACTTCAGGAGAAGCTGGATCAGCTGCCAGGAGAGACTGGTCCTTCATGTCTCCATCAGACGTGGAAGATGATGATGCTTCTTGTCTGTAGACTCTCCTCTGAGCTCATTCTCTTTGAGGTTTTCAATGACTTTGTGGGATTTCTGACTGTTCAATGGATTCAGAAGACCTTTTAAATGTCTCTGTTGGCGCAGTCCAGACTTGAGGCATGAAGGAAGCACACAAACTGTGTCCAGGCGACCGTTTGAACCACTCAGGGATTTAACAGAGCACGGGACTTTCTGAGAAACTCACTTGCACTTAACTTTGTTCACTGAGTCTTTTACAAGAGAAAATTCTCTGAACGTCCTTTGCATGTCACTTCACAAAGCAGGGGCGCAGGTAAACCGCTGCCATTAAACTCCTGGACACTCTAGGTGACGAAGCTGTAGGACAGACTTGGTTTGAAGGAACAACACTTATTGTTTGAAGTATTCTCTGTACAGGAGTCCTGAGTAGAACGAGGCCTCGGTCGGTCCTGTCCACCTGCTACAGGTATTCCTGGTTGAACATTTTGTTTCCTGCTGCAGCGTTGTTGCAAAGGCCAGTCTGCACCAGCTTCAGGAGGATGTCTGCTTGTGGCACGACACCCACTGTTGGATCTTGTTTAAGCTTCTGACCTGACCAGAACAAAAAACTGCTCTTTCTCTGGAAGGGCCTCAGGTCTAGGTTGGGATTTTCTTTTCTGTGGTCTTGCCCAATAGGAGCAGCGTACAGGTCGCGGAGTTGTCTGGGGCAGTCGTCGCCGATTCGAGTCGGTTATCAACTTGTGGTCCATGGCCGGTTTGGTGGCGGTTTGTGATCCTAGAACATAGTAGTTGAGGGGGATTGCCCAAATGATGAGGGACGGCTGCGGGGAGCTTCTGATGTGGGAAGGACTGTCTTATCACTGTCTTCATATCTGTGATCCTCTTGCCTGGTACAGTATGCTCCTGCTGAAGATCAGTGATGATAGCCTACTGACCTCTGTGACTCTGTGCACACTCTGTGCTGGGAGCTGATGGGCGTGCTGCTGCGTCGGGAGGTGATCCATATAAGGGCAAGGAGGGATAGCAAGAGTGCTTGATGATGGTTCACTATCAGCACACTGACGGTCTGAGCTCTGTGGGACTCAGTTGATGTGCTCCAGTCAATGTCCGACCGCAGTCTGCTTCTGCGTCCAGGACGTCTAAGTTGAAGAGGAGTTTAGAGACGGACAGAGAGTGTGGAGATGGAGAGAGTTTGTCGGACCACAAGACATGAAGTTACCAAGTTTCATACATGATGTATGACAGAGCTGTTTCTGAGCATGATGATCATGTGGACATCTGTTTGACACCAGGGAAGAAGGTTGTTTTTATAAGTTTTATTAGTTTTATGATTCAAACGCCATCAGCTCAGGGTGGGAGAAGTTCTCAGTTGCTTGTTGTTAAACCTGTAATAAATGTTTTTTGATAAGTTAAAACTGTGAATTGGACTGAAGCAGAAGTTATGGCACCTGTTTTTTTCTTCCAATTTTTTTGCGCTGGATGGAAACAATTGTATGAGCTGCATCGTCTGTAGCGCTGCCTTTCACCAGTTCTGGCTTCTCGGAAGGACAGCGTTGCACCACAGCTCCAGTCCTGGTTCTCTGAGCCATGGAGCCCAGTTCAGACAGAACTTCAGGACTGAGAAGGTCTTTCCCACTCCAGCCACGGCCACAGGTCAGCATGCTCTGATGCGACTTGTGGCGCCCCCTGCTGCTCCTCAGTGATGGCAGGCTTTATGATGTCTGATCCTACCTGATGGAGGTTTCCTGCAACAGCTTCTTGGTAGAGTTCCCTCAGCCTTGCTCCTCATGCTGGGCAGTCTTCAGGGAGAGTACCCTCAGCCTTGCTGTTCCTCATGATGGGCAGTCTTCTTGGATGAGTTCCCTCAGCCTGCGCTCACTCTGTGCTGGGCTTGTTGGTGTGTTCCACTGGGCCGACTCTGTGATGGACAGAGCTACAGTGAAGATGCGGTTCTGAGAGTACTTCCTGCTCCTTCTGTTCCCTCGGCAACATCTCTCCCACATCTGCTGATCAGACGCTGTGTATGATCCGTGCAGATAGCTTCTGGAGCTCTTCTTCTGTGAGTGGAAGAATTGCGACGTAACTGTTTCAATCATGTGTTTTCTTTCGTTATTTTACTTCTATTCAGACTTGTTCATTTAGAGCTTATTCCCCTGTTTCCAGAGTCTCCGTTTATCTGTGAAATGATGTTAAGTCACAGTCAGAGTTTACTTCAGCTTTAGTGGCACAGGGCATCACAGAAAGTACTCAATCCTCCTTCATTTGCAGTGTGGACTATTTGAACCTTTTGTACAGGGATTCTCTTGTGTATGATTCTTATAACAAACGGCAAAGAATCCTAAAAAACATCTTAAAATTTGTCATAGAGTAGTCCGAGTAGATTGACAGGAAATGTAAACGTTTGAGATTTTCAACTGTAGAATTGAAAATTAGGGATGCCACCACATATTGAACACTTGGCCGATTTTGTTATCCGATATAAGGTGGTCTATTTAATGGCCGATAACCTTGTCTTTTTTAGTATTTGCTGATAACGATGTTTTTAAAATAATAATATTAATTAATTATGAGTTGTAAAATGTTCGGGTACATACTGAATTTATTTTCTCTATTTCAGAATGTATTTTTATTTTAGTAAGAATATGGGCGATGTGGGAAAAGGAACACAGGAGCTTTTTGTGGCTTTATTTTGAGGGAAACTATCTGTAAGGCAGCGTATGTAGTAGTTATAATAGAGTAATGGATAATATAGACATGAATAAATATGTCTCCATATAAGTGATAACATTAAAAAACTAGATAAGGTTTAAAGAGTATGTACAAGTGGTGTACATTCTTGCTATAATAATACTGTTTGGGTTTCAGAAAGAGTGATTGAGCAGTTCTGTAATCGTGTATATCCTCTAGCAATATAGCTGAACATGGATTGATGAACATCGGTTGATATCGATATTTTACCAATAATATCGTGTTCTACTGTTGGAAAATGATATAAAGTGAAAGAGGTGGAATACTTTCAGGAGCAGTGTCAGAACTGGTTTGTTCACGTATCGTTAATTCAGATTGACAACAGGAGGAAATGTTTCTATTTATTGAGGAGATGTTAAAGGTACAGAATCAGTATTTTTCACTTGTTCCAAAAATGAAAAAACATTCTAATGAGACCTTAAGATATTCCTCCTCCTCCATCGACTATTTGTGATAGTTTGTTAGGAATAGTTTTGAGAATGTCTCCGGAAGAGAAGTTAGTGCGCGGAGTGCGCTCCTAACTTCTCTCCGGAGGACTTCTCTCTCGCTTGCTACTGTGTGTACTACAAAGTCACGCTGCTTCTGATGCGGAAGTGAGCGAGGAGAGAATGTCTCCGCTACAGGAGATGGTAGTCGCTGCGGTCGTAGCGAACCTTCAGATTACTAAGCCTCACAATTATAGTGACCCGTTTTATCCGATGAGAAATGACTGTTTACATTTCTGTGTTACTTACTTTGCAGTGTAACACGTCAGTAACTATATACATTTTATAGGGAACATTGGAGAGTTTGGTAGCTTCTTGCGGGAGCTACCTTTTTCGGGTACTATACTCAGTGACCAGAGGGATGGTGCGGGTTGGCTCCAGTTTTTGCTCCTTTTGGCATGACAGAGCGAACGGCTAAGACCAGACAGGTACGTATTAACTAGTCTAAGGTTCATGGTAAGAGAACGCATATGTCAGTATGTATAAAACGGTGGAACGATTCACTTTAACGGATTCTAGAATGTGACCTATAAATCGTCCATGAGGCTGGATCAAAGTCGCGACACACACACAGCGCGCGCGCATTCGCAACCCCTCTTCTCAAACACACACAACTAAATTTAGAATGAGAGACATATAGTAGGACGTGAGGAATCGATGTTCTCGTGATCTCACAGGGTGATTACTAATATCGGTGTGCTACTTTAACTGCGTTGCGCGCTCGAAGAGTTGACCTGTTAATATATGATCCTCAAAGTAGCTGCGAGAAAAAAGACTATCTTTAAGCCTTTACTTGCATTTTGTTGAATTTTCCTGGGTCGGTCACAGTTATAATTCCTAGATGGGGAACATTTTACTGCAGTTAAAAAAATTACAAAGTAACAACCGTTCTTTGAACTGATGTGAATTGGTGGTGTGTTTTCTAACCTCTGGTAATAAACAGGGAAACAGACTAAACCTTGTGTCGTCTGTGGGCTTGGGGCCCTGAGGTCTGGGGCCGTGAGGTCTTGGGCCTGAAGTCTTGGGCCCTGAGGTCTTGGGCCCTGAGGTCTTGGGCCCCTGAGGTCTGCGGTTTCCTGAGGTTTGGGGCCCTGAGGTCTTGGGTCCTTGAGGTAATTTACACACACACATGGGCCCTGAGGGCATTGGGCTCTGAGGTATTGGGCCACTGAGGTCTTGGGACCTGAGTGTATTGGTGCCCTGAGGTCTTGGGTCCTGAGGTCTTGGGGCTCCTGTAGTGTCTGTGGGTCCTGAGTCTTGGGTCTGATTGGTCCTTGGGTCCTGAGGTCTTGGGACCTGGGGCTGGAGTCCAGCAGTGAGTTTTTCTCTGGACAAAAACATTGGAGATTAGAGCTGTTATGGTTTATTAAAGTATATAAATAACATGATGAGACTTTGTGTGTAGTATAGGTGATGTTGTTGTGTGTTTGATCCTAGTAGTGTAGCTGTGTGCTCAGATGGTACTTTGTTCTGTGTCTACAGAGGCTCCAGGATCTCTGGTTCTGTATGTTGTCTGGTGCGGGGGTCCCACAGCAGAGAACACCTCCTAAACAACTGGATCTACAAGCTTGGTTCAGCCACTGTTGATGAGGATGAAGCACCTCTTGAGCCACATGCAGCTCTCACTACATGGTCCTAATGTGCAAACATTACACTTTTTTCACAAAAGCACCTATTAATAAAATACACACGTTCCTATTGGCATGGACCATGAACCCTCTTTTCACATGTGATGTTCATGTTTAATCCACTGGTGATTCTATGTCCTAAGCTCACTCTGTCCAGTCGTAAACTTTTAAATATAAATCGTAATCATATAGTCAGTTCAGTGTTATGGAGCGTTCATGACCAAACGCTTTCACACAAAAAAGCTTTTTGACAGCGTTCAGTGAAGCCAAGATAGTTTTGTCATTTTGGTGCGTGATGCGTTTTGACTGCGGGCAGGTGACGCGCTGTCGCCGGTCGGGAGGAAGCTTCGTGTCTGTTGTCTCTGTAGTCAGGACAGAGTTGGATTTCTTCAATGAGCTGACAGCGAGCCTTTATTTGTTATATAAAGCAAAATAAACATTGGTTTGTTGGGCTTCAGAACAAAACATGTTCTGGGTTCACCTCAGACTTGTAGTAGGCTGCAGTGTTGCTGAGTTCGGAAATTTACGCCCAGGAGGCTGCGTACGGAGGGTTTCGCTTTCAGCATGGGTATTACGCATGTCACTCTCCAAGTCTGAGTTCTCAAACCCCCGGAGATCGCCTCTCCCCGCCTCGCTCTCGCATCTCCCGCTCTCGCTCGCCTCTCCTGCCTCTCGCCGGCTACTCGCTCGCCTCTCCCCGCCTCGCTCGTCGCCTCTCCTGCCTGCTCCCGGCTTTCGCTCTTTTGCTCCATAGCCTCTCCCCGGCTCTTGCTCTGTGCCAGACTCATCGTCAGCATGTTCTTATATTAAATAAAACTTCATTACTACCACTGCATGTGTTCTTGTTTTTTGTTACTCAGAACGTTACTACTATACAAATAAGTATTACTAATAACAATAATGGACAACAATAAACTGCAGCATCAGATATTATGACTTCTCTTCATGACTGAGACCGACCCGGACTGCTGCTGTGTCCTCGTCTCTGATGGGTTGAAGCCGCGTCAAATGATTATAAAGTCTCAGCTTTGCTGCAGCTTCGGCGTTCAAAGGGTTGGTTTTGATACTTCGCGAGCGTTTCGCGTGTCGGCAAAAGCTTCAAGTGAGCGCGTAGTACTTGAAGCTTTGACGCGCGCCATGTGAGCCGGGGCTCTCGTGCTTCACCTGACGCGTATTATCCATTCAATTTCAATGAAACCTGACGCTTTGTTGACGCCGAAGTTAAGTGCATGGTCGTGAACGCCCTTAGTGTTTTCCTTTGTTTCACTGTGGGTTTTGAAGTTTCTTCTATTAGAATAGCAGCTTCCAGAAGAATGAAACTCTGGTTGGATTCACATAGACCTCCGTCACTATTCAGGGAACACAGCACGTGGACCCACGGAGGATTTTTAAATTCATTGCGTGTGAGGTTGTGGTGTGGAGCAGAAAGACATCGTTACTCTGGGTCATGGTTCAACCATCAACAGAACTAGGTAAGAAATGGTGTTTTAATGCTTTTACGATGGGACTAAATATGACCAGACCAGAGAGCGTCCAGCGATGAGAAAGAGAAGATAGATGAGCGGAATGAGAGAGACCAAAGAGAAGAGACTACCAGTGGAACTCCTCGCTCTCATATTTATAACAGATAATAGTGTTATTTGGAGGCTCTCTCATCTTTCTTACTGTTGTTTTCTGTGAGATTCTTAAATTTAACAATTTTTATGGTTTCTCTGTCCACTGGTCCCTCCATTTGGTCTCTCTCGCTTCTGGGTACTACTGTATTTATCTCTCTCTCTCTAGTCTCTCTCTTGTTGTCTCTCTGGCCTGTCTTTAGCCCTATCGTAAATGCATTAAAACACATTTCTTACATGTTCTGTTGATGGGATGAACCATGGTCCAGGAGTTAACATGGTCTTTTCTCTCCACACAGATCATCAGTGTCCAGTGCTGTGTCCCTGAAAGTGACGGTGCTCTCTATGTGAATCCCACCAGAGGTTCTTTCTGAAGCTATTCTTCAAACCCACCGTGGAACAAAGGAATACATAATGGGCGTTCACTACGGCTGTTCTTCGCCTGTCAAAAGCGTCAGGTTAGCAGTGAAAGTGGATGGTGAAGCGTTGTAAGGTGAAGCCGAGAGCCCCGGCGTCACTTGGCGTCGCGTCAAGCTTCAAAAGTTCTACTGCGCTCCTCTTGAAGCTTTTGACACCGCGAAACGCTTGCGTTTCAAAAAATTCCCTTTTGACGCCGAAGGAGCAAAGCTGAGCTTCTTGACGCTTGGACGCACGGGCTTCAACCAATCAGGTGACGAGGAGCAGCATGCAGCAGGGGTCTGTCTCTGTCATGAAGAGAAGTCATGTATATGTTGCTGCTGTTTTAGTTGTCAATTATTGTTATTTAGTAATATTATTTGTATGAGTAGTAACGTTTGAGTTATACAAAAATCTTAGAACACATGCTGTGTAGTATATGTTAGTTTATTTAATATAAGAACAGGCTGACGATGAGTTCTGGCTCAGAGCAGAGCCGGGGATTAGTAGGCAGGGAGAAAGAGCGAGTGCGGGGAGGGCAGGGGAGAGCTGAGAGAGAGGCGGGGAGAGGGCTGAGCGAGGGGGGAGAGGCTGGGAGAGTCGATGCGGAGAGGCGGGGAGAGGCGTGAGAGCGGGGGAAAGGAGGGGAGAGGCGGCTCCGGGGTTTGAGAACTCAGACTGGGGTGTGGACATGCTGGAACTACCTCTGGAAAGCGAAAAATCCTCCAGTACGCGAGCTCCTGGAGTAATGAGGAACTCTGCAAACACTGCAGCCTCTCAAGTTGTGGTGAAACCCAGAAACTTGTTTTGTTGAAGCCCTAACAACAATGTTATTTGCTTTATATAGACAAATAAAGGCTCGCTGCTGTCATTGATAAATCCAACGCTGTCTGTCTACAGACAACAGAGAAGCTCCTCCACCGGCGTCAGCGCGTCACTCGCGTCAAAAGCTCAAGCACCAAAATGACAAAACTATCTTGGCGTCAGCTGTCGCGCGCAAAAGCTTTTTGGAAGCGTTTGTCTGAAACGCGCCTTAAACCACTGATCTGACTTGTAGATTACATTTATATTTAAAGTTTACGACTGGGACAGAGTGAGGTTAGTCATAGAATCACCAGTGGATAAAACATGACATCACATGTGAAAAGTGGAGTTCATGGTCCCTATGACAATGGGGGGGGTGTGTGTTAACAACACTAACTAACACACAATTGTTGGGGGGGTTGGCCCTGCCCCGCCCCCCCCTGTGGTGGCCCCCCCCCCCGGGGGGGGGGGGGAACGTGTGTTTGTAGTAATGTGCTTTTGGACAAGAAAGTGAGCTCTATTGTTGCACTTTGACCTTGTAGTGAGAGCTGCAAAATGGTGCTCATGGTGCTTCAGTTCATCACAAGTGGTCTGTTACGCTGCTTTAGGGATCCAGGGTTTTGGAGGTGTTCTTCTGCTGTGGGACCCGCACCAGAAAACATACAGAACCATTGATCTGGAGCTCTGTAGACACAGATCTAGAAGGTACCATCTGACCACAGCTACACTACGAGTCAAACATCACATCAAAATCCACCTTTACTTACACACAAAGTTCAGCTATGTTATTTATATACTTTAATAAACCTTTACAGCTCTAAATAAATCGGATATATTTTTTCAAGAAAAAACTCATTTTAAACGGTGTAGACATGTCATTGAAATTTATGCGGTCTAAAGATGAATTTGTACTGATGTCTGGAGCTGCTGATCCTAAGTATCGTGTGAAAATAGTTTCAGCATCTATTTTTGTTAAGAAAGTCGCTGTAGCCCCTATGGTTAGGCTCGGGCACAGCAGGGCCCTGCAGCATACCAATGCGAAATACGCTATTGATCGTGTTGCTTTAAAGACTTTTTCAATACCAAGTGGTACTAGAGTTTGCAACCAAGACAATCTTTATTTAGGTAAAATACCTAAATTCTTAATTGTGTGTTTTATTGACAACGAGGCGTACACGGGGAGCTATACTCGTAATCCTTATAATTTCCAGCATTTTGATACTGAATTTATGAGTTTATACGTAGACGGTCAATCCTACCCATCTAAGCCTTTTCAACCATTGTTTAATAGAGGGCAGTATGTACGTGAATATTATCAGCTGGTGCAAACAACGGGCCGTCATTTAAAAGACAGGTCTCTTGCGATAGATCGAGACGATTTTGCAGATGGTTACACTCTGTTCTGTTTTAATTTAGAGGCCGATGAAGGCCATGGTGGTAATATCTCACTAGTTAAATCCGGTAACGTACGTTTAGAAGCTAGGTTTAGGACACCGCTAGCACGTACCGTTAATTTGATCTGCTATGCAGTTTTTGATTCCATTATTGAGATTTCAAACAGAAGACAAGTTCTATTAGACTATTATTAGATGCCGTACTAATGAATACTATAGAGTTAACGAGCATCATGAAGCTGTGTGTCAAAAAAGCCACGGGTTTCCTAGGTGTTTTCCCATCAGACCGTTTACCCAGTGTCATAAAACGTTATCCAGCGTGTGCCATCATTAACACCCACCCATCCGCCCTTCCTGGAGAACACTGGGTAGCGGCCTACTTTTCTAAAGATAGGCGCGGATACTTCTTTGACAGCTTCGGCAACGGACCAGCTTATAAAAGTTTTCCAAATAGTATTAATATATTTATGAGGGAGAATAGTGAAGGTTTTTACCATTCCATAAAA